CTTCTACAACAGAGAATCTCTCCTTAATATAAATTGTCCTACTGAAGATCCTGAAAATCATCATGACGAGCGTTCGCTTTCGTTAACTTTGTCGGACTTCTATAAAACTCAGGAAAATGAAGAGATCTGGTGATCGGGTCGTAGTACTGGTAAAAGTACCTGAATGTCTCACAACGATAAGCAGCCCACGCCTTTCTTTTAGGAATTCAAAGATGCCTTAAAGTTTAAACCAGGAGAAGAAATTCTTAACAATTCTCGAGGTCGTAAGCGATTAAACTAAGCCTGATTATGAAATTAGAAGATCCTCGCAGCTAAGAACACTACTGAAACTAGTAGTTGTAAGTAGGACCTGAAAAAAATTTCAGGCCCGTACGGGATTTGAACCCATGACCTCTGCGATACCGGTGCAGCGCTCTACCAATTGAGCTAACAAGCCAACTGGGAGCTGGAATGAATTGGGTACAAATAAACATCCGAGTGAATGAAGATTTAGATATATGAAAATTCACATATTTGCACTGCGGTGGAAAGATGAAATTAGAAGATCCTCGCAGCTAAGAACACTACTGAAACTAGTAGTTGTAAGTAGGACCTGAAAAAAAAAAAATTTCAGGCCCGTACGGGATTTGAACCCATGACCTCTGCGATACCGGTGCAGCGCTCTACCAATTGAGCTAACAAGCCAACTGGCAGCTGGTAATGAATTGAGTACAAATAAACATCCGAGTGAATGAAGATTTAGATATATGAAAATTCACATATTTGCACTGCGGTGGAAAGATGAAATTATTAGATCCTTAGAGGATCCTACTTACAACTACTAGTTTCAGTAGTGTTCTTAGCTGCGAGGATCTTCTAATTTCATCTTTCCACCGCAGTGCAAATATGTGAATTTTCATATATCTAAATCTTTAAGCCTGATTAATTAACCAAAATTTTTTTTTTATCAACTAGTCTTGAAGCTCGCGCGAAAGAAAATACACATCCGCATGAAGATTATTGAACGATGAGTTGCCTGAACTTTACTTCTGTAATCCAATACATTTAAAAAAATACACAGGTTACAGGACAACCACGCGTGTCTACATCCGAGTAATCTGCTGTAGCTAAGTCATCTTATTCTAAAGTATTCTAACATAAACATGTTCAAGGCCAAGGCTTTGAACATAAATCGCCAAAACACGATCATATCTTTTTTTCGCCTCCTCACCGTGACCCTGTTCATTGTGTGCGTCACCAATATTTTCATGAGTAATTTCAACTTTAAGATAATCACCTTCAAGCTGTTTCAAGCACATGTCCAGTGCACTTGCATGTTTAACTTTGCTTCCAAAAAATCACCTAGACCACTATAAACAATACCCAGGTTATTGTAAGAGGCTACAACATCTACATGTTCAGGTCCGAGCTGTTTCAGACGAATGTCCAGTGCACGTGAATGGTTGTCCTTTGCTTGGTGGAAATCACCAAGATCACTGTATACAGTACCCAGGTTATTGTACAAAGCTGCGACATGCACATGCTTAGGTCCGAGCTGTTTCAGACAAATGTCCAGTGCACGTGCAAGGTTGTCCTTTGCTTGCTGGAAATCACCTAAATAACTGATTATAGTAACCAAGTTATTGTAAGAAGCTGTGATACTTAAACGCTGAGCTCCGAGCTGTTTCAGACGAGTGTCCAGTGCACGTGCATGGTTGTCTTTTGCTTGCTGGAAGTCACTTAGATGACTGTTTATAGTACCCAGGTTATTGTAAGATGCTGCGACATTTAAATGCTTGGGTCCGAGCTGTTTGAGACGAATTTCCAGTGCACGTGCATGGTTGTTCTCTGCTTGCTGGAAATCACCTAGACTTCTGTATACAATACCCAGGTTATTGTAAGAAGTTGTAACATCGACATGTTCAGCTCCGAGCTGTTTCAGACGAATGTCCAGTGCACGTGCATGATTGTCCTTTGCTTGCTGGAAATTACCTAGACTTCTGTATACATTACCTAGGCTATTGTAAGATGCTGCGACATTTACATGCTCAGGTCCATGCTGGTTCAGACGAATGTCCAGTGCACGTGCATAGTTGTCCTTTGCTTGCTGGAAATCTCCAAGACCTCTATGTACAGTACCCAGGTTATTGTTAAATGCTGCAACATCTACATGGTCAGGTCCGTGCTGTTTCTGAAGAATATTTAATGCAAGTGCATGATTGTCCTTTGCTTGCCGGAAATCTCCTAGACTTCTACATACAGTACCCAGGTTATTGTAAGAAGCTGCAACATCTACATGCTCAGGTCCAAGCTGTTACCGAAGAATATTCAATGCAAGAGCATGATGCTTGCTGGAAATCTCCCAGACTACTGCATACAGTACCCAGGTTATTGTAAGAAGCTGCGACATCTACATGCTCAGGTCCAAGCTGTTTCAGAAGAATATCCAATGCACTAGTATAGTAGTTCTTCGCTTGGTCTAAGTTACCCTTACATTTGTGTGTGATTCCCACAAAGAGGTAGATTTCTGCTTTTCCTACAGCGTCGTTTGCGTTACCTGAGTGTATAATTTCCGGAGCAGTTCTTTGCAGCTTCGTATTCAAAATGGTATAGGCACATTTTTCCGAGGATCCGGAGGCCATTCAGACAACCTTGTAAGGGCATATCACCCACATTTCTGACTTGAGGTAAGTCTTGTTCAGAAAACAGATATTTAGCCCTCAGGATCAGTTTTCTTAGGTGAGGAACAAGTCTTGAGCCGATGGTAAGGGTATCTAAGTCATCGAACTTGGCGAATGATGCAACAGCCCCAACGACAGCTTTAATGTATAATTCCTTGGCATAATTTGTTTTTAAAGAATCAAGTACATCACGAACGACTCCATGCACTCGAATACAGACGCTGTCACCTTCTTCTTCAGATAATAACAATGAACATCGATTTATCTTTGATCTGATCCACCCTTTATCAGTTAATTCTTCATCTATTTCCATGATGTAATTGACAGCGACGTCTTGGGGTATTGGCTGAGGTGAACAAAGAACAAGGAAGGTGAATAGGTGATTAATAACTCTGTTGGTCGCCATTGCTTCTTTCACTGCAAGGGTTATTGCTGTTGTCATGGAATTCTGGTATCTTGGATTTGTCTCTGCAAGGATGGTCTCTGTCGTACTTTGTTGACCACCTGCAACTTTCTCCAGGTAGCCACCCCAGCCAAAGCTAACAGATACTTTACTCTGCCGGACTTCTCGCACATAAATGGAGACACTCGCTAAGGCAAGAGGTTGATATTCTAATGTCCGTGCAACTTCATCTTCCATTTCACCATCACTCACTTCTGAGAGGAGCGTTAACAATGAGCGGGCATGATCTGGATGCATTCCTTTGCTGACTGAGACAAGCTGGATTGCAGAATTTGTCAAAGGGATAGAAACAGCGTCTTGTGTTGTTAGCAGCAACTGGCCTCTTGCCCATATCGTCTCTTGCATCTGGTAAGTGTCCATGTATTTGAGACGCACTGATGACGTTCGACCACCAGCAGCCATAAGGTATAGTTAGAAATTCTCGCACTTATCAGCTTCCTAAGTCTTGTAATCTTTTCGTCTGCACATAGGTCTGTGGAGTTAAGAGTGTTTGTAACTGCATACTTTGGACATTTACAGTTTCGAGCGAAAAGGACATAGGATTCCAAAAGTGTTTCTGAATTTTCAGCATTCAAAGTCATAACAAATGAAGTCAAAAAAGGAATTTCTTTGACCTCGTCGTAAAATCACTTGGCTACCAAATGGGCAAGCTGCGATTTTCCACTTCCTGGATTTCCAGATAGATACAAAGTGCTTAAAGCATCATCATTAGCACATTTAAGCGCTCTAAGCTCCTGGGTAATTTCACTAACCTCAGAATCGCGGCCGGTAACATCGTGTGTGGGTTTTGGGTGAAGAACACAAAATGGAGACACTTGTAAGAAGCTGCTGCTCAAGGACCTGTCGTTGCTCCTCTATTTCTAGCGCCTCCTTACCCCTCTCGAGAAGTTAATTATCTTTTTCTTTCATTTTCTTTTCCTTCTCTCGAACGTTGGGAAACTAATTTGAATTTGGATGTCGTGGATTTTCTGTATGGGAAGACCGAGGACAAGAAATGCATTTGTAACTTTTAAAATCACACTTTGGAAATCATTTTCCGATAGGTGTCCTCGTGGCATATGCACATAGTCTTCATTACACAGTCTCCTTAGGTCCTGTGCACAAAACTTTAATTTGCTATAATTTTATAGCTAATACCAATCCCTACACATAATAGATTGTTATCAGGATTAGATGGAAAAAATATTGTGCTATGCAAGATTTCAGGTAATCATTTTAATTACATAAATATTAACTGATACTAGGAGATCTATGAATATTCCAGAGAATGTAAAATTTGTTTGAAAAATTAGAACTTAGCATAGGCCAAATAAACAAAAAAAGAAAATGAAGAAGAAATGTGTACTAATGAAAAAGCTAAGCAACCTTTTTACAACACCTGCCTGTACCCGCATGGCACCTAGTAAAGTAATTTGAAGCAGTCATAATCCCGGTTTTACAGATTTCTTATAAAACTGTAGTTTAAGCCTGCCATAACTTCAAAGTTTCGATGCACACCTTAAAAGGAGAATAAATAAATTTCAAGTTTCTTTTAATTCAGTTTAGGTCAGTGAGGTGAAATTGAGTCAAACATTCATTCAACAACAGGTCAAAAAATGTTCACAACTAATTTATAAGGTTTAACCCTACCTGGAACAATCAATTTCATTTACATATAAGACTAGGTGTGTACTGATGATGCACAAAAGAAATATCTGTGGTAAGAGGGCAGGCTTTCCTTTCTTCATTTAAAAAGGTACTGAGGTTATCACCTAATTAAAAGCGGGACCCTTGCTTTTCCAGTTTCCCACCTAATAAAACTCACATATCTTGTGACCAATTATTTATATCAATGTTTAGTTTGGGTATGAGCATTAGTAAAAAACACCATGCATTAATGAAAGCTTAAGCAAGAGTATTTAATTCAATCCAAATGATAATATTATATGATACAACGTGGCAACTTACACAGCAAAATTATAATCACACAATTCCAAACAAACGATGTCAGGTTATTGTCTCACCTGCTTCAACTTTTGAGGGCTTAAGGTACAGAGAAATAGATATGGTAGACAGTTACAATCAAAAAAGAGTTGAAAGTTTGAAAATTAAGAGAGATACATTACAATCATCAAATCCTATTCATACTAGCAAAAAAGGTAAATTACCACTTTAACTTCTCCCAAAAATTCATGCTTACAGGAAATCATTAATTTCTTTGTCACCAGGTGGTACTTTACTTACAATAGTTTTACAGACACAAATGCATTTTTCGAAAGTCATCTCATAACTTATGACTGTGCAAGTTATGTGGGAGTTTCCTGTATGGGGACCGACATTTCAATTACTTCAGAAAACTGTAATCATCAGAATTGCAAGCCAAGGTGTATTTACCAAGTGCTCAAGTTTCCAAAGTAGCCACCAAATTGTTACAGTCGAGTTCACTTCTTTTTGAGGCCATCTTAAGCTTGATCATCCTGTTTTATGTAAAAACATGAAATGTTACTCACATATTCAAATAATTGCCTGAATAAAAAGTTACATATTTTTTAATAACCTGCTTCCTTCAACCCTTAAATCCCCGAGAATGACTAGCATCTAATTTCTCCTTTAAATATCACCCCTGAATCAAACATTAAGGTTATGAGAATAAAGGAAAGAGTAATAAAGTGAAGAACCTCTTGATGGTTAAACCAATTCTTCTTGCCAGCTCATTAGGAAATGTATAGAGAACAGTAAGGAGAATATACATACTGATGTTAGGGTGTAAAGGGTTAATAGTGTTCCAGAACTAGTAAATAGTATTGAAGAGAAAGGAAGAAAGTTCTTGAAACATTCTATGTTAAATGAAACTTTATTATGAATGTTAATTACGACAGCAACGAAAACATCTGGGAAGCTACAGTAACAATTACCTTTCCATGTAAACAAAGCATAAAGAAGCATGATATGAATAAATTCGATCTCACCCAGTTTGAATACAGAATCAGAAATCTTGTTACCTTATATACAAGTGGGGAAAAGCTCAAAGTGTTTTTCCTGCCGTTGTCATTCTAAATATCGCAAATTAATCACGCCACCAATTCAGTGTCAGTTTTTTGAAGATTTGCTCTTTTTCTTACGGTCATCTATTTTTAGTATCTATCTTTTACCAGTTGACATCTGAGAAGAATCAAGTCCATGGTGGTGATTTGGCACATTGTAAGCAAACCTTATAACTGATTAAATTTTATGTGATAAAAAACATGAAGGGCAATAAAGGAAATTGGCTAGCACAATTCACGTTTCCCCTCTTAAGTATTTTGTGATCGTTTCTTCTATCATATAGTAAAGTTTACAGTTTCTCTCATTTCATTGTCTTCTATTGATCTGTTTGCTTTCTAAAAATCTCAACAACTGTCCCAATAAATGTAAGGACCATATAAAATGTGTACAGTTGTTAAAGACATCATTTAATCAGTTTTATAAATGTAGAGTATTGCTTGAGTATGTGATTACAGTAAGTGCAAGTGCCTAATAAACATCACTCTATGGTCTTCTACTCTTCCACCTCGGAGGGTGCCTTGTGTACATAAAAACTGAAGTTCAGTGCATTTAGTAGCTTTAAATTTTGGCTACAAAGATCAACAACGAACAACAACCATACCGAAAAATCTTTTTAGAGAGACCTCTGTAATAGTAGGTACTCACAACTGACATCGGAGTGAAGCAAACAACTTATTTCTAGAAGCTTTTAAAACTTCTGTATTTTAGCTTTCAAAGAAAAGCATTTCCCATGAACATTTAAAAATTTAAGACATGAGCTACCAGCAACAAGTTTTTCCATTGTAAGTGTTTCACAACATCACATTCTGATCACATTTATTTGTTATATTTAAAAGCATAAGAATATTTCAATCATCACAATATAACGAAATCCCCCATTTTAAGACACATATGATAATCATATGTACGAGAAATCATATCTACGTGCGCCCATTAAGAGAGTGTCTCTGTAAGAGCGGTCCGGTCGATTTTGCTTGAGACACCGATTTCGCTCGTTTCTCGTGTGTTGTAAGACATTCATGTACCTATACTAAAACCACAATCAGTTTGATCGGGTCTCTTTATTTTTCAGAGTTTTACGGAAATTAAATTTCACTCGAGCGAAGGCTTGTCGTGACACTTTTCAAGACTTTAATTTCATACAACTTTGGAGGACAATTTACGAAAAACTACGGAACTCAGCAAAAAACAAATACCACAGCCATGTATATTAACTCTATCTTATCTATCGAGGCGACTTTCGTAAACATCACGTGTCAATCAAGGAAACAGGAAGACTTGAATGACACCTTATCGGTTCGCCTAAATCAAACACGCCAAAACCGATCAAATTCAAGGTAAATTTTTGAAAAAGTGAGGCGTTGTTAAGTGATCCAACTAACATAGCTAGGAAGTAGGTGCCATAGAAAAGATAACTACAGAAAAAAACTTTGCGGCCCGACCTTTACGAGAACTTTATAACTCCGTGAACTTACCTAATTTTCGGCAATCTCCAAGTTTGGCCGCCATTTTGAGGGACTTGTCAACATGAAGCGTAACCGATATAAATCAAGCAGGTCAATCTAAAACCGTCAGAAATATATAAGAAAGCAATTCAAATGAACTTTACTTTCAATTCAAGCGGCAAAATTTGAAATTGTTCGTTAAACTTACAATCCTCATGCGACCATTTCTTTCAAAAATTCAAACACTACAACTAGTGTTCGAATTCCCCTCGCCGATTCCACCGCAAGAAATAACCTGTGCCACCCAAGCTTCGACTCGAACATGAAGTACGAATCAAGTAACATAACTGCTTCATCTTCGCGGCAATATCACGCTGGTATTTTGATTTTCCGATCGAAAAGAACGGTGCTCAGGAATCGATCGGTTTGTTTACCTGGTAAACGTGACCGCTGACCAGCCGCTAAGTGAAAACAGCATAGCGCGGGGTGGGGTGGTTGGCGGGCTTATCGTCATAAGATATTCGAATGCATGCTCAAAAAGCTCTAGGACTATCAGTCTAAACAGTGAAGGCATGCTTTGTGGTACAGACAACTTTTATTTTATTCTCATAACTTTCTCCTTAAATACATTTCGTTCCAAATAGGACTAGCATCAGTTCATAGATTTAAAAACAAATCTTTACCACGTAAATAAATGTGTTTAGATAATCGAGATAACCATTGAACCTCTTGTATCGCACCGGAAATAACGTGTCTTGTCTTTGCCCAACTCTGAGAGCGTGGAGCGGCGAAGACGCGAGATACGAGTCTCGCGTCTCGCGGATTCACCATGCTCACAGGATACGCGTGACCTCACTATCTTTAAGAAAAATAAGAGACTACTCGAAGTCTGTATTCCGTTCAACCATTTCATAAGAGTGACGCGAGTCTTTCAATTGAGTGAGAAAGTCACAAACCCATTCTTTACCTCACGAGCGTAACCACTGACCACTCACGAATTACAGTAGGCTTCTCCTTTGACGCGGGAATTGAAATCGTATCGAATATACAAAGTTATAATGAGTTCCTTTAGATCTCCTGAACTTGTATCGCGTTGGAATCAATTACAAGTGCAGGAAGAAGTCGTTCACAAGCGAGACGTTTATTATGTCTCAGGACTGCTTTTTGAATAGCAAAGATGGATAAAACTTTGGTTCATCGTGTGGCTTAAGTGGTTTGGTACGACTGTCTGAATGCTGATCATGAACTGATCAGAACAAAGGTTTTACAAGGGGCCATGAAAACTCAAAGTTAACGCACCCAACCTTCCTGAAGTGCAGAAAAGGGATTTTTTTAATCATGATTTGTTTTAGCTTTGCCTCTTGCTGGTTAAAAAGCAGGTGGAAAAGATGAAAAAAATGAAAAATCCTGAATAAGCAAAAGTAAATAGCTGCAACTCTGCACTTCCTTTCATATTGGGTTTAAAGCTGCTCTAAACCTCGTCATTTGATAAGCTGCCACCTGTCTAAAGAGGTTTTTAAGGGAAAATGAACTAATCTTGGCAAGGATTGGCCTATTTCACCTCGCTCAGGAGGATAAACAAAAAAATGTGGATTTGCTATAGGCATCGCTACACTCTGGGGAAGTTTTGGAGAAGTGCAAAGGTAACACGTCAGTATCCTGATCAAGATAGCGTCAGGAAGCGTATCCAAGGCAGAGATGTAATTACCTTGCATATGTCTCAGGACGTTCAAAAGCTGTTTGGAGTTATTATTCCAGTTGAATCAGGTGATCGTCAGTAACATTTTCTGTTATCTATTTTTGTCACGTGACATATCTGCTC